TAGCAGTAGTAGTAGTAGTAGTAGTAGTAGTAGTAGTAGTAGTCGTAGTAGTAAGTAGTAGTAGTAGTAGTAGTAGTCGCACGGGTAGTAGTAGTAGTAGTAGTAGTAGTAGTAGTAGTAGTAGTAGTAGTAGTAGTAGTAGTATCAGTCGTAGTAGTGGGTGTCGTAGTGGTAACCGAAGCAAAGCATCTGACGCAATAGGAGGAGGAGCCTCCACTTCCCCCTCGGTGGGACACATCACCACGCCAGGGGGCAGAGTTCGTGTGAATAGGAAAGCGTTTCAGTGGACCCAGCGCAGACGACAGCAGGGCCGGCGGGTTTAAATGTGGAGGATGGCAGAGGAGGGGTACATATTGGATGCGGGGGAGAAGAGGCGATGCAGGATGAGTCGGGGGAAGAAATTCTTGTTACTCTTAAGAACTCGTCGCAGCCAAGCTCGGTTATTACATCCCCTGGTGTGTGTGTGCTGCCATCAAACTACCAACAGCACATACCAGGACGGGTATGCCTCAGTGAAGTTGGATAATCCTCAATGACAGGCCGGTTTGTCTTCGCTGTTCCATTGGATGCAGGTCGCTAGCCGTGGTGCGGCTCGGAATGGATCCATCTGCGTATATAAATAAAAGTGTAAATATTAGTACAAATGAAGGCACCCCCCCAGCACCCATTCTCACCAGCATTTTACCTAAGACGTTGGTGATCTTCCTTTCCTCCCCCTCGTCTTTCTCGCGCTCTCTCTCTCTCTCTCTCGCGCTTTTCCCTCTCGCTGTTTTCTCTCTCTCTCTCTATCTCTCTTTTTCCTTCTCTCTCTCCCTCTTTTGTTATCTCTATCTCGCTTTCTCGCTTTCTCTTTCTCTCTCTCTCTCTCCCAAGCACTCAGCACAACCCCTGTAAACACAAGGTTTGCGGTGCCAGGGGTGCGAAACTCTTTGTTATAATGTGGATGGTGTGGGTTTCTGAAATGATACATGGGGTTAACAGTTGTTTTCATTTGGACTTGGGGATTTCGGGGATGTTGTCCTTCCTCCAGCGAATATCGTACCCAGGAGCCCTCCAAGGAGCTCCGACCCCCAGAACTCCACACATCCACAACGTTCAGATCAAAGCGCATGGTGTCCCCACTTGTCACCCCAGAAATCCCAAACATCCAAATCTGAGAGAGAGAGAGATACAGAAAAAAGATAGTGATAGACGGAGAGAAGAGAGAACAATAGAGAGAGAGAGAGGGAGAGCGAGACACAAAGAAGATAACGCGAGAGAGAGAGAGGGGTGCATTCCGAATCCAGCTAGTTACGCTTCGATTCCTACTGGGATGCAACTGAAATCTCAGTGGGGTGGAGCGGGTCCCAGACTCGGCCGATTCAAAATAGATAGGATTGCGCAGATCCCAGGTCCAGCTGGTTCAGATTAGATTCCTGCGTGGTGCAATTCCCAGGTCCTACTGATTCCACGTAGTTCCCGTTGGCATCTGTTTAGAATCCGTTTGGGATCGAGCAGACCCCACATCCAGCTGACTCCAAATCTATTCCTACTGGGGTGAAATTTGGATCTAATTGGGGTGGAGCGGATCCCACGTCCAGTTGGCTCCAATTCGATTGTTTTTTGAAATCGACTTCGAATCGATCGAGCTTTGCGCAGGTCCCAGATACACTTGATTTCACGCATTGTTGTATCGTAATCTAATGGGACTCGAATTGTAAGTTGACGAATCCCATATGCAGCTGATTCCAAGTGTAATCTTATCATTTTCTAGTCAGACCTCTGATTTGAGCTGAGCAGTTCCAAGACACGCTGCTTCCATTTGAATGCTTATTATAATCGAATAGAAGTGGAGCAGATCCCAGATTCAGCTGATTCCAATTTGATCCATATTGGAATTGAATGTGTATTTAATGAGATTTTTGCACAACCCAGATTCAGCTTTAAATGGACTTGAACAGATCACATATCCAGCCGATTCGGCATATATTTCTATGGACATCTAATTCGAATCGAGTGAGAATTGCGCAGGTCAAGTCTGCAGTTGATTCAAAGGTGATTCCGATTGGAATCGAATTATAATCTAATTGGAATAGAGCAGAACCAAGATGCAGCTGATTCGACTTGCATTCCTATTGGAATCGACTTTAAATCGAATCGGAAATGGGCAGATCCCAGATCCAGCTGATTCCAATTTGATTTCGATTGACATCTAATGAGAATCTAGCTGGATCTGAGCACATCCTTGATCTAGCTGATTCCAATTTGACGATTAGCATTGAGGTATCATTCGGATCTAGTTCGGCTGATGTGGATCCCTGATTCATCAGATTATAATGTGCGCATATCCCAGATCCAGCTCATTCTAATTAGACCACAGCACGAAAAAGAAGCAGAGAAATGACGAATAGGCTAGATGGATGAGCAGGCGCAGATGAAAAGAAGGCTGATGATCAGTAAGACAAGCATCAATGAAGGCTTGGGGCGGCTGCGCATATACATATATATATATATATATACGAACATACATTCATACGTACAATCATACATGCCTACACATCGAATATTTCACGGACACTTGCCGACCAGTGTCTGAAAGGCCATCGACATAGGTCAAGTGCAATGTGTCGGTGCATGCGGCACGCAATGGTGTCCTCCTCCACTCCGTATTATGAGGGCTCCTCTGCTGAGAGCAGTGGCCACCGAGGTCCATGAGAAGACCACCCGTCGCGTGTTGCTCGCACGGTTGGCACACGCAGGCAACCCTGCCATCCGAAATTCGAGGACCGCGCAGCTGCTGCCGAGCCCTCGAAGCCTAAGAGGCTGGATGCGCAGCCAGCCCGCGAGCATCGGCCCAACGTTGGAGGCCGCGGCGACGGCGACGGCGACGGTGACGGCGACGGCGACGGCGACGGCGACGGCGACGGCGACGACGACGGCAACGGCGACGGCGATGGCCACGGCCACGGCGCCGGCGCCGTCGGCCGGCGCGCCAGCACGTCGTGCGCCTCGCCAGCCACCCCGAGTGCCCGCTGCACATGTCCGCCGCCCCGGCCACCCCCAGCTGGTGGGCCTGTGTTTTCCACCACCCACACCATAAGTTGGAGGGGGGAAGGAGGTGGAGGAGGAGGAGGAGGAGGAGGAGCAGGAGGAGGAGGAGGAGGAGGAGGAGGAGGAGGAGGAGAGGAGGACGAGGACGAGGACGAGGAGGAGGAGGAGGGTTAGGACGCCCTCCCACTCCAGCTTCTGGTGGTGGTGGTGGAAAACAGGCCGACCGCCAGCGCGGCACGCGGCGCGCGCTCGCTCAGCGGCCGCGGCCGGTGAGGCCGCGCGCCGTGCCGCGCGGCGCCGCTCCGCGCGCGCCGTGCCGCGGGCTCGCGCTGGACTGCCGCGGCGCCCTGGCGGGCCCGCGCGCCGCGGCGCTGGAGGGGGGGGGGGGGCCACAGCGGGGGCCTGGCCCTGAGGTCGGCTAGAAGTAAGAGTGACCTTTCGCCGGAGTGACCTTTGGTGCGGGTCCAATGGGGACCCCATTGGGGGTCCCCATTGTGGGGTCCCCCGATCGCCGAGCGCGATGCGGTAGTAGCGTCTTGCGCGCTTGTGTTGGGCCCCCCCGCGGCCCCCACAAGGCCGCGCACCAAAGGTCGCTCTTACCCAGGGTCACTCTTGCGTGTAGCCGATTAGTGGGCCCTGAAAACGACGGCCGTTTTTGTTACCAGTTCCGTCTTGCCGTTTTTGTTGCCAGTTCCGACGCCGTGTTTTGACCGGTTCCGTCGCCGCTTTTTGACCAGTTCCAGCTCCGGCTCCAATCCTGGAGCCGTTTTTGTGCCGTTTCCGGTCGCCTTTTTTTTTGCCGTTTCCATTTTCAAGAGACATTTTTTTGGGAAACGGTGAAACAACGGCCCTGCCGTTTCCGGGGCCACAGCGGGGGCCTGGCCTGGCGAGCGTCGGGGGCGGCAAAGAGGGCGGTAATGACTGCAGTCGGCTGTCGCAAGGACGCACGATGAGGATGCAGGGGCCCTGGATGGGGGGGCCACACGCGAACCCTACTCCCTTGCCCCCCACGACTTATGAGGGGGAGGGTGGGGTTCCCTTCGCTCGGGAGCTCCCAAACGAAGGGAACCCCACCCTCCCCCTCAGAACTCGTGGGGGGTAGGGGTAATTAGGGTTCGCATGTGGCCCCCTGTTGGAAGGCACCCTCCGAGGCTCTTTGAGCGGGGCGTGGCCGAAGAAAACAAGTGGCCGAGGATGGGCCGAAGAGGCAAGGATGCAGGAGGGGAAAAAACACACAGACACAATTAATCCTCGATTCCCCAGAAAATATGGGAAAGTATGGGAAGTGGGGGGGAAGACAAACACCCAGAAAGTATGGGAAAATATTGGGGATTTGTTTTTTTTGTGTATTTATTTGTGTGTCCCAGTTCCCCTTCAAAGATGCAAAGGGTACCCTCAGAAAAGGTTGCCCATCATCACTATGCTGGGGTTGGCTGCGGGGAGAGGGTGTCACGGCGGGCGGGCCACGATACCTCCCCGGGACGACGACGGCGACGACGTCGTCGTCGTCGTCGTCGTCGCCGTCGCTGTCGCCGTCGTCGTCGTCGCCGTCGCCGTCGTCGTCGTCGCCGTCGTCGCCGTCGTCGTCGTCGTCGTCGGTTCGTCGTCATTAACTCCTTCGTCGGTCGTCGTCGTCGTAATTATTCCGCTCGTCGACCGTTGGTCGTCCGTTGTCGTCGTCATCGCCCATCGCCGTCGTCGTCGTCGTCGCCAGTCTCCCCCCCGGGCCGCGCCCCTGCCACCGACCATGATGTTTGCGCCCCCCCTCTTGGACGCCCCCTCCTGGGGCGCCCCCCGAGAGAGGCAGGCAGCCATGAAGCAGACCCAGACCGTCGAGGTCTCGACTTATGCCATTCGGGGCCCTCGCAAGTCCCAGCACCCCTCCCAGCAGGGCCGGCTTCCCATCCCGCGTCGTCCCTGGACGGTCCCTCGGGCCCAGCTAGGGCACCCGGGCCTGCGGCCCGGCGAGGGCCCCCATGGGGCGGAAGATGGCCAGAAACCTCCCGCCGTGACGTTTTTTGACGACGCGAGCATGTCTGGGGACGTGTCGCGTTTCGCGCTTCCGGTCCCCCGGGCCTGCGTCGGGCCCAGGGACTGCCAGAACACGGCTCGGGATGAGGAGCGGGTCCTGGAGCAGGGCTCCGGGGGTTCGGAACCCCTTTCCCTCAGGATCCATGTGTTGCTTCAGGGAGGGGCCAGGCCAGGATCGATGATCCTCGGGGCGTGCGTTAACCCAGTGTGTGCGTGCGTGTGTGTGTGTGTGTGTTTGTGTGTGTTTACCCCGTCCAGCTCCACCCACCGCCCCACCAGTAATTAGCGCGCAACATGTGTCGGACCTCATTGCGTCGCCTGCGTCGCACTGAAAGGCTTTGGTGGACAAGCACACGCGGACGCTAGCACACGTTCCGAGGATCATCCACAGGAGGGACCAGGCCAGGACGACTAAGCCTGACGAAAGGGGGAACTGGGAAAGGGGAGGGTTGCGCAAACTGCTGCGAGCAGCTGGTTTCGGCCCCGCCGCTCGGCGCTTTCGTCGATGAGCTCATGGGCGCTTCCGTCGCTGGGAAAAGCCAAGGGGAAACGGGTGCGCGCAGATAATTCGCCAGACCCCCCCCCCCTTTGCTATCTCAGACATGCGGTGTCCGGAATGTTCCGAGCCATCCTGTGGTGTTCTGTCCTCGTTTTCAGGAGCCAGCTCCCCGCTTCTCCCACCCGCTGCCCTCCTCCCTCTCCTCCCTCCTCCTAACCCTGCCTTTGCCCTCCGCAGTGCTCTTGGTCTTAGCCATTACGCAACCTTCACCACCATCAACATCATCATCATCATCATCATCATCATCATCATCATCATCATCATCATCATCATCATTATCATTATCATTATCATCATCATCACCCTCATCATCATCACCACCACCATCATCATCATCATCGTCATCAGTAGCAGCAGCAACAGCATCATCCTCATCAACATCAGCATCATCCGCATCATAATCATCATGTTCCTCATCGTCATCATCATGATCAGCATCATCATCCTCATCCTCCTCATAATCATCATCATCATCATCCTCAGCCTCACCCTCATCCTCAGGCTCATTCACATCCTCATCCTCATCAGCGTCATCATCTGTATCCTCATCCTCGTCTCCACCAGCATCAGCATCATTATCGGCATCATCATCCTCCTCATCATCCTCCTCAACATCATCATCATCCTCATCCTCATCCTCATCTTCATCATAATCACCATCAACATCATCGTACTCATCATCGTCATCAGTAGCAGCAGCAGCATCATTATCCTCATCAACATCAGCATCAGCATCATCATCACCATCCCCATCCTAATCTGCAGGTTCCTCCTCATCATCATCCTCATCATCCCCATCATACTCATGATCAGTATCAGCATCATCATTATCCCCATCATCATGACCATCATCATCATCATTACCATCATCATCATCATCATCATCATCATCATCACCATCATCCTCTGCCTCATCCTCGTTATCAGCCCCATCCACATCTTCATCATCATCATCAGCATCACTCATCCCCATCGTCGTCTTCATGAGCATCAGCATGAGCATCAGCATCATCCTCCACATCCCCATCCTCATCAACATCATCTTCATCCTCATCTTAATCAGCATCAACATCATCATCAACATACTCGTCCTCATTCTCATTATCAGCAGCATCATCCTCATCCTCATCCTCTTCCTCATGTTCATCACCTTCGTCGTCCTTGTCATCATCATCATCAGTATCATTATCATTATCATCACCATCACCGTCATCAGTATCATTCCCATCATCATCATCTTTATCAGCATCATCCTTATCATCATTACCATCGTCATCATCGTCATCGTCGTCGTCATACCCATCACCATTCGTGGCCCCATAGGGGGTCCCGACCAGTGTTTCCGTGGAGCAGCTCGCATGCGTCCGCCCCACCCATGCCGGTACACCTCTCACACACTTCGTTGCCCCACAGGGAGCCCCACCGAAGACTCCAGAGGTCGCGTTCGCATTGTGCCACCGCACAGGATTCCGCACACTCATCACACGTTCCGTGGCGCCAAACGGAGGTCCACCGAAAGCAGTACTCCAGATTTCGTGATAAAGGGAGGGGGGTCTCATTTCGGGGGGGGTCTCTTCCAGGCTATCTTGGAGGGCCGGCGGGGTCTGGGGACGATGTCTGAAATGGCTTGTCTTGGAGGGTCCAGACCCCTTCCCTTTTATTACGAAAGCTGGAGTACCTACAACGCGGCACTCACGACTGCATACGATCGGGTCCGTAGCCGGGGTAAGTTCGATACGAAACCCTCGGAGCCCCGACGCTGTTGCCCAGGGCAGGCCTTCCACCCCGAGCCGTTTTTTTTTGTCCTGGGGCCCGCTGGGGGCTCCTTTTGGAGGCAAAAAAAGCTTACACCCTAGGCGATGCTTAAGAAAACTTGAGTTTTCGGCGAGAGTCTCGATTATTCTTAATCTTTCAATGTAAATCCTAAGATTTTGATAGAAGTTCTGGGTTTTTATTCAAGTTCTGAGACTCTGAGTTACTTAACCCATGATTTCTCAAGCATTTCGCAGGGTATACCACAGCTTCCCGTCGTCGTTCCCGCACCAACAATCCATGGACGTCCTGGGGTCTCCAGGTTGGGTTTCTTGTGGGAGGTTTCTCTTGTGCCCGGGCCCCTGCTGTACCTTCCCTCTCCGTGGGCTCCGAGGCACAGAAGGAGGGGCCAGGCCAGGAGGAGAGGCCATGCTCATGTGGAGAATCCAGGACCTAGCTCGCCTGGCCGGCCGATGACGGCGGCGGCGGCGACGACGAGGGTCTTTTTCGTCCCTCCCTGCTCTCCCCTCCTCCTCCTCCTCCTCCTCCTCCTCCTCCTCCTCCTCCTCCTCCTCAGGAGAAGGCGGGGAGCGAGGGAGTGAAAGCGGCCAACGCTGGCACGTGGCTGGAGCCGCCGGCCCGAAGGTCTTTAGCAGTTCCTCGGCCTCCAGAGGCGCTGCCGTTCCCAGACGCGCCCGCGGCGCGGCAGACACATCACGACGGAAGGTCTTTAGCAGTTCCTCGGCCTCCAGAGGCGCTGCCGTTCCCAGGCGCGCCCGCGGCGCGGCAGACACATCACGACGGAAGGTCTTTAGCAGTTCCTCGGCCTCTAGTGGCGCTGCCGCCCCCAGACGCGCCCGCGTCGCGGCAGAAACATCACGACGGGAGGTCTTCAGCAGTTCCTCGGCCTCCAGTGGCGCTGCCGTTCCCA